ACAAGGGGGTAAAAAGGACAAGGAGAAGAATAAGCAAGGGAGAAAGGAAGGGATGAGAAGCCTCAATGGTGGGAGAAGGCGGAGCCACGTTGCTGTGATACAGCTGCAATCTCGGGGCTCTGAGATTGCAGCTGATATCTTCGCCCCTGGTCGGTCCTAATGGACCTGAAACAAAATTCTTTTAGGGACAATGGGTAAACTTAATTGAAAAAGGGATTCTGCAAAGGTTGTATTTTTGTATTTGTATTCAGAAATAATGTTAGGAAATTGGAAACAACATGTAATCAAAAATGGGATAAAATATTTAGTGTAATTTAGTGAATTTTTTGTGAAGAAAAGGCAATGAAATAAATGAGAGAATTGAAGTAGGAGAAGTGGGAACTTTTTAATGAAATAATGATTTAAAATATGTGATGTGGGGGGGAAATAACTATGGAAAGTATAAGTGTTCCCATAAAAGTATGATATTTAATTGAAAAGTAACGTGTAAAGTGTTTAAGATATAAATGAATATTAATATTGATTAGATTTGTATTGACATTGATAGTTGTTTTTAATTACATCATATACCTATAATTTTTTTTTCTATAAAAAACATTGTGTAATTTTAGAATGTTCTAAACAGAATCCCAATGCAAGTTATGTATTATATTAAGTATTATAAATTTAGGGGAAAGAGTTAAAGGCGTCATACTCCAATCAGTGTACAGGAGAAGTTTTGTTTAAAGAGAAAAGATAAATGGATAGCTGGAAACAGAACAGACAAATAATAATAAGTATTATGATTTGAACTGAGATGAGATAAATAAAACTAAAAGTTAAAAGAGGTGAGAAGTTATATAGAAAATTGAAAATGGTAATAAGATATGGAATGGTATATAAAATGAATATGAATTTGAATTTGTGTCTGTACGAATAGTTGTAACCCGGGATCAAGCAGCTTTCAGAAAAAACGTTCTATGTTTTTATATTTTATGTTTAGTTTGTTTGTATACTGTCTTTGAAAATCAATAAAATTGTTTTTTTTTTAAAAAAAGAAGAGACTGGACAGCCATTTGTCTGGAATGGAATAGGATCTCTTGCTTGAGCAGGGGGCTGGACTAGAAGACCTCTAAGGTCCCTTCCAGCTCTGTGATTCTATTCTATTGCATTAAGAGTCGCATGGAGCCAGTCCTGTCAGCACTCAGGTAGTTTATTGGCTGCCTGGCTAGGAATCTCTCCTTCCTCAAAAAGACGGTTAAACCAAATCTCTTTCCACCATCAGCAAAGGGATCCAAACCAATTTCCTGCAGGTCACTTTCTTATTCCTGTCCTTTTTCCCAGAGGAACCAGCAAATCTGGATTGTTCTTCTCTCCCTTTGGATGGCCCCGGGTTCCAATTTGCCCTGCCAGTCCATTCCCAGCGCCCAGACTGATTCTGTCTGGCATCATTCCCATGTTGCAGAGGAAAGCAGCTCTCCAGGAAGACGTAAAAGGATTCCAGTTCCAGATCTGGGGAAAAAATCAGGTCCCCTGTTTCTCCTTCACACATCCAAGTCGTCATCGGGCTCTTCATCATCAAAATCATTGGTGGCGTCTGGTTCGTAGTAGATTTTGCCTTCCTCTGTCGACGTCTGCAGCAGAGAGGATTTCCTGGGAGGGGAGAAGAAAGCACACACACACACACAGAACATAGTATTTGTCCATCTGTCTATCATCTCCCTCTCTTTCACACATCTTTATCTATTCATCCATCCATCCTCTGGAAGTGGTGGGTGCTCCTTCATGAAAACTGGAGGTTTTCATGAAGGGATTGGACAACCATTTGTCTGAAATGCTATAAGGTCTCCTGCTTGAGCAGGGGTGTGGACTAGATAGCCTTCAAGGTCTCTTCCAATCTTTTGATTCTACGGTCTACCTAACCTCCCCCCCACGCCATCTATTTACCTACCTACGTGTTATCTATCTACGTGTCTGTCTTTCTGTCTGTCTATCTGTCAATTTATTTCAAGAAAAGATCCATCTATTTCAAGAAAAGCATCTATCTATACCTATCTTTCAAGAAAAGATCTATCTATTTATCTGTCTATTGATTTCAACAAAAGATCTATTTCAAGAAAAGTATCTATGGCAGGGGTGGGATTCTACCAGTTTGCACCTATTCGCTAGAACCTGTTAACATTCTAGGCAGTTAGGACAACTGGTTGTTAGAAGAAATTACTGGCCTAATCCTGTTAAGACAGGAAGGAAGCATTCTGGTGTTGCTTACAGAAACTGCCTCTCCATTAACCCTTATTACACTCTTGGCAGGACTAGACTTCCTGTCTCTGGAACTTTTCTTGAGTTTTTTTTCCCCTCCTTTGCTGGTACTTTGCTTGTGTGGAGTGACCATTCAAAGTTACAATGGCACTGAAAAAAGTGACTTATGACCATTTTTTACACTTATGGCTGTTGCAGCATCCCCACAGTCATGAGAGGCCCAGCGAGGAGATGCGTGCCTCGATGTGAGTGATATTGAGTTGGCCACACCCAGCCAATAACATGACCACCAAGCCATGTCCACCCAGTCACATGACCACCAAGCCACGCCTACCACCTAAGCAAAGCCCACAGAACCGGTTAAAATATTTTAATCCCAACCCTGATCTATGGTACCTACCTACCTACCTGTTGTGGCTCCGGGCTTGGATTCAGCTCCTGTGACTGATATGAGTTCAAGTGAGGAGGTCATGGCAGAAAAATAGGAGCCGGCCTGGCTTAGTGATTGGACTGATAACCAGGATGAGGAGATGGACGTGACAAAGGACGACAGACCTGATGTATTAGAATTGTCAGGACCTTTGACCTCCTCTGGTTCCTTATCTGATCAACAGCCGGGAATGGCTGACAGGGAAGTTTTGAGAGAGTCTTCTAGTGGAGATGAGAACTTTGAAAATCTGTGGTTAAATGTAAAAAATAGAAGACGGTTGAGAAGGCAAAATCAGCTGGAGCGAATGAGGAGAGCGAGTCAGTAAATTAGCACGTTGCCTCAATGAGTATAAAAGGACACAGCTGGGCTGGTACATTTTGCCAGGAACAAAATGACTATTTGAGGACGTTACAGCAAGAAGCTCTGAGACTGGAGATTTATTGCCAGGACTGGTTTGCCGGACAGAGTAAAGATTTATGCTGTGGTTTCTGCCAGCCGCTATCTTGTAAGACTTCTTTCTGTTTGATTTAATTGTGAAATGGCTGCTTTCTGTTTTGTTCGTTTGAATTTTGAAGGGGAGTCATAACACCTACCTACCTGTTATCTGTCTATGTGTCTGTCTGTCTCTGTCTGTCAATTTATTTCAGGAAAACATCCATCTATCTACTTCAAAAAAGCATCTATATCTTTCAAGAAAAGATCTGTCTATTTATCTATATCAATTTCAAGAAAAGATCTATTTCAAGAAAAGTCATCTATCTATCTATCTATCTAATCTTGAGGTTCTTAAGAAGAGATTGGACAGCCATTTGTCTGAGATGTTAGGGTCTCCTGCTTGAGCAAGGGGTTGGACTAGATGACCTCCAAGGTTTCTTCCGTCTCTATTCCTCTGTCATTCTACTTAGTGATGACATTGATGTGCTGCCTATCTTACTAACCAAGCAACTCCTAATGGGAGGAAGAACCACGATGCATTCGACGTAACCTCATAGAGGTGTGAGGTACTTTATTTTTTATTTATAGATTTGCATAACACCTTTACCTATAGCCCTTAGACTTATATACCACTTCACAGAGCTTTCCAGCCCTCTCTAAGTGGCTTACAGAGTCAGCCTATTGCCCCCAACAATCTGGGTCCTCGTTTTACCCACCTTGGAAGGATGGAAGTCTCAACCTTGAGCCTGGTGAGATTCAATCTGTCCAATTGCAGGTAGCCGACAGGCAGCAGAAGTAGCCTGCAGTACTACACTCTCACCACTGCACCACTAGGGCTCATGTTAGTTATTAGTTTTACAAATAACTTAAGGTGCAAACATATCCAACATGCCCTTCTTCCTCCTCTTTTCCCCACAACAACCACCCTCTGAAGTGGGTTGGGCTGAGAAGGGGACTGTCCCAGCTGGCTTTCCTGCCAAAGGTGGGACTAGAATTCACCATCTCCTGGTTATTGGCCCAAAGTCACCCAACCAGCTTTTATGCTAAAGGCAGAACTAGAATTCACACATCCTAGTGATTGGTTCAAAGGCACCCTGCCAGCTTTCAAACTTAAGGCAGAACTAGAACTCATCTTCTCCTGCTTTCTAACTGGTGCCTTCACCACTGGGCCAAACTGGCTCTTAAGGAATGTTCCAACTGAATTTTAATATATTTTTTAAAAATATAGTTTTCCATATAAGGAATGTGCCAATTAAATCTTGGTCCATTGCACTCAAAAGCTGCCAAGTGGGCTCCGTTTAACCGAGTTTTCCCTCTATTTAAGATTTTGTATTTGTAGGTTTCTTCTCTCCTTCAACAGGGGCTTCTCTCCTTGCCAAATATTTGAAGCCAGTGGCCCCCAACCTTTTTTGTGCCATGGCCTGGCACAAAATGATCCACGGTCCGGTATTGGCATCAGCACACATGACAAGGCAAGGCAAGCCGAGCGACCGGCCAGCCAGCTGTCCCCCACTTCTCCCCGCCACCTTCAACTCCTCCTTTGTACCTTTGTCGATGGGCTTCGCTTTGGGACGGCTTTGGGATGGTTGCTCGGCTCGCCTTGCCTTGGGTGCTGAAAGAATCCTCGCGTCTTAGTTTCTTTCGAAGCCCCCCCCCTTCGATGAAACTAAGGCGCGAGGATTCCTTCAGGACTCAAACGCCGCTTTCCAACCAGAAAAGTTCACCCGGAAACACTTTCTTGTCAAACAAGATGGCGGCGCCCAGCAAACCGGTGGCCTGGTAGGAAATGTTCCATGGACCGGTACCGGTCCGCGGCCCGGTGGTTGGGGACCCCTGTTCTAAGCCACCCCCAGACGTTTTTTGCGGAGCGAGTTGGACAGCCTATAAATTTTAATATATGGTTAAATGAAATATGTGAGAGGAAACGACAAAGGGACGAAAAAAGTCCTTTTCCTCACTGAAGTGGTACGGGAGAGGCACTGATTCCCTGGCTTGGCGCTCGGCCTCCGTGAGACGCACATTGAAGGTCAGGAGGGCTGTCGGATCAACCTGGAAAGATCTCCAAGATCAATGGCGTTCGCAGATCGAAGGAAAGAAAGAAAAGATCCCCCTGTGCTAAAGGCTTAGTTTAGCCCAGTGTTTTTCAGACCTGGCAACTTTTAAGATGGGGAAGGGGGGCTTCAACTCCCAGAATTCGCCAGTTGGCCATGCAGTTGGGTTGGCAATATATAGTATAAACCAGGATAGTCATTTAATACTGTTGTATCTTTAAGAGAATGCTGTAATTGTGATTGGCTGAGGTTCCTCGGACGGCCATAAGATGGAGCCAGAAACCTGGTTTGTTCTCTTCTTGCATTTCCCTATTGCCTTTTCCCTATCGTCGTTCTGCTTGGATTGCTGTGAGTCTTGCAACTGTTAGCAAACTCCATTTACTGAACTTTGTTTATGATACTGGACTTCATTTTTGGATTATCCCTGGACCTGCTTTAACCGTGTATGATTTGGACTGTTTGTTGGACTTTGTTTACCCGTTTACTGGAAGTAAAACCTACATTTTACTATTCAGTGTATCTGTATGCTGGCTGTGTGTTATTCAACACCACTCTCACTACGTTTTCCTGAGTGCACTCATTCTCTTAACAGGGAATACCTCAACAATGCCTATTTTTCTTTTCTTTTTTCTTGTATCCCTTTAAAGCGGAGAGATTGCAGTGGAAGGGATTGTAAGAGAGCAAGCAGGCCACAATGGGTGTATATGTCAAAAGGAATGTGTTTGTGCCAGGGAATTCTGGGAGTCAAAGTCTACCCATTTCAAAGTTGCCAACTTTGAAAAACCCTAAAGAAGAGAAGGAACATGGATGATTGAAGGGCGATCCCAAGGAAGGCAGGGTGGATTCATTCTCCAAAACTTTCAAAGGTAGGACACAAACCAACAGGTGGACAGGTTTTAGAGTGGAGGGGTCCAAATTTGAAATAAGGAGAAATAATATCCTGTCTGTCTGTCAGAACATTGAAGGAATGGAAGAACTTCCCTTCTGGAATTATGGATGCTCCATCGCTGGAGGATTCCAAGCAAAGATTGGACAGCCATTCATCTGAGATGGTGTAAGAGCTCCTGACTTGAGACCTAGGGGCTGGACTAGAACAGAGGTCACCAAATGAGCCACAGAATCAGTGCCAACTCATTCGAACAACCACCTTGCTTAGCAATGGGAATTCTGGTCCCCTATGGTGGCCGTTAAGTCAACAATGTTGCATTATTTCTAAAATATCTGCTTCTATTGCATTACTAGCTCGATCCCCATGCTTCGCTACAAAACTATGCAGTGGGGCTTAGTTTTGGGGGAGGAAAATAAGGGGGGAAAATTCTGCCTCTGCCTAACAGCATCTATCGTATTCATCTGGCTAGCATCCTGTCAGTGTGTGAGAGAGTTGAGGGCTGTTTGGAAACTGAAAGAGTATTTACTGGGTGAGCTAGGAGACAGGAAGGAGCCTAGGCATGGCTTAGCTCAACTGTTCTATACTAAAGCTACTTGCTGCTGTAAAACTGAAACTCTTCTCCTCTGCTTGTGTTTTGCATTTGGAAGAGATTTGTTTTACTAAGAAGGGGGGGGGGGAGTAGAACTCCTTAGCATCAGAGAGTGTTATAATAATATAGGAAATACTCTAAATGCTCTGATGGTCATTTGGAAAAATCCTTTCTTAGTGAGCCCCTAGAAGCCAAGAGAAACAGACCTGCCCATTCCTGGATTTCTTTGTCCCTGACAAAGAGCCCACCTGAATCCCCCACCACCACCAACAAACCAAACTCTGCTCCCAATTCATCTGTCAGAAGCCCGAGGCACGTACCGCAATAGGTTCCCGTCCTCCTTCTGCCTCATCCTCTCTGGAAATGCCTTTTGGTGGCAGCTCGCTGAGGAATTTGAACCCGAACCCGGGGAGGATGCTGAAGAGCTCAGTCTGGGGAGGGAAGGGCAAGAATGGGTGTGGGGGGGGAGGTGAAGGGGAAGCACGAATCTTCCACTCACTCACAGGTAGTCCTTGACTTATGACCACCGTGGAGTCCAACGTTTCCATCAGTAAGTGAACCAGTTTACTGAATGGGGACCCGTTCGACAGCCGCTGAGTGAATCCCTGCAGCTGTTCAGTTAATAACGCGGTCCGTCTTCCCTGTCGACTTTGCGACATGGCGACCATCGTAAACATGAACCACTTGCCGAGCCGCTGAGTTTTGATCCCGTGACCTTAGGGGTGCTGCAACGGTCATTACATGTGTTAAAATGGCTGAGTCCCTTTTTTTTTGGTGCCATTGTAAGTTCGAACAAAACTAAAGGTTGCAAGTTGTATTACCATTGAAGGAACTCAGGTTTTACGTCCCCACGCAATCTTGTAGATTGAGGGGTGGGGGGGTGTCCAACCTTGGCAGCTTTTAAGACCTGCAGACTTCAACTCACAGAATTCCTCAGCCAGCATGGCTGCTATCTTGGGGGGAGGGGGGGGAAGGCAAGCTGGAATGCTAGTCCTCATGGTTACAACTGAGGTGCTTCCAAGCAAGAGGGGTGGCAAATAAATTTAATAATTAGTGAAAAAACTGCCATTCAGCCTCCATCCAGGGAGGCCCAAATGCTCACATGGCATTTTATTTTTTATTTTCTTATGATACGATATTGAGAAACTATTTATTTCAAGGGCATCTCAAGCAATTGATGGCCTTAAGCAATTAATCTCAAGGTCTATCATCTATTATAGATCTATGTTCCTATGCATATCTACCTCTATCTACCTTTCCGTCACAGACAGACAGACAGGAAGGGAGGCAGGCAGGCAGGCAGGCAGGCAGGGAGAGATGATAGA